TCCCTTTAACTTGATGATTTATCTTCAGCCCCTAATTTTTTAGCCGGCAACTTTAGTTTGCATTTTTGATAAACCCTAGTATAAAGAGAGCCTTCGCCGCCGTCTCTTCAGTACTAACTGATATCGTCAATGGCGGATACGGAGGAGCATGAGCACGAGGAGCAGAATATGGAGAAAAAGGTGAGGAAGAAAGGTAAACACGACAAGCCAAAGCCATGGGACGATGACCCAAACATCGATCGTTGGACAATCGAGAAGTTCGACCCCTCATGGAATCCAAACGGTATGCTCGAAGTCAGCTCCTTCTCCACACTATTTCCTCAATACAGAGAGAAGTATCTTCAGGAATCATGGCCCAGAGTCGAATCCGCTCTCAAAGAATACGGCATCGCCTGCAAACTCAATCTGGTGCGTCCCCTGCAAAAAGAAAATTAGGGTTTTTGTTTTTTGTTTGTTGATTTGACATTTTTTTCGGGGTTTTTCATTGATATGTTTGGATTTTGGTGATCGTAATGGTTAGGTTGAAGGTTCTATGACTGTTTCGACGACGAGGAAGACAAGAGATCCGTATATCGTTGTGAAAGCTAGGGATTTGATTAAGCTTTTATCGAGAAGTGTCCCTGCTCCTCAGGTAAAGAAGATTATGGAGAAAATAGCTATAAGGTGTTTCTATTTAGGGAACCTTTGTTTTATGTATTTTCTTCACTTACATTACAGGCAATTAAGATTCTGGAAGACGAAGTACAATGTGATATCATCAAGATCGGAAATTTGGTTCGCAACAAGGTATAGATTCAATCAGACCTAAGCTGGATTATCACTCACCACTGTGCTTACATTTTGGTCCCTTTTCCTTGTTGGTATATCTTTAGACGATCAATAGCACCGTTTAACTCTGGTTACGGATTCTACTATAAACATGGAATACTTGATGACTTCTTCTTATATTTTGCTTCAGCATGCGGCGATTAAGTCATTTTGATATCTATCTGGCATGCATTGTCCAATGGGTTCTTATATATACTGTATTTGCAGGAAAGATTTGTTAAAAGAAGGCAGCGGCTTGTGGGACCTAATAGTTCTACCTTGAAGGTGTGTAAAACTGGCTGGCTTTTAATTCATGGAGATTTTTAGAGATAGTCTTAGTGATGCTTAAGAGGTTGTGCAAACTCCTGAGAGAAACTTTCCGAATATTTTTTGTTTGTGTTTTGCTTTGAGGCTTAATGATTTTGGCTGCTTGCAGGCGCTGGAAATATTAACCAACTGTTACATTCTAGTTCAGGTAATTGTGTGTTTCTTTCGCCAATGTCTCACTATACTTAGTTTTGTCTCTGGGTTTTTGATATTTTCTTGTTCCTTGGGGTTAATCTGCATCTAACAGGGAAGTACTGTAGCTGCAATGGGTCCTTTTAAAGGTCTCAAACAACTCAGAAAGATTGTGGAAGATTGTTTAACGAATACACTGCATCCTGTTTACCATATAAAGGTGTGTATGAAATATTTATCTGTTTTTTTTTTTTTGGTTCTATGTGTTTCACTTATACCATGGAAAACTGTCATATGCTTCTGCACATGGTTATGCAGATTCTCATGATGAAAAAAGAACTGGAAAAGGATCCAGCCCTTGCAACTGAAAGCTGGGATAGGTTTCTTCCTAAATTCAAGAAGTATGGCCATTCTTTCTGTTATTGACGAGTGAATCGAGTGATATCTCTTGATTGTTCAATAACTCATGAGCACATCCGTCTATTTCACATGTTGATTTTTCAGGAAAAATGTTAAGCAAAAGAAGCCCAAGAGCAAGGAGAAGAAGCCATACACACCTTTCCCTCCTCCACAACCGCCTAGCAAGGTAAGAAACTTGCTTCTTATACGATTATCGACCAATTCATATATTGATCTTCTCCATATCCTTTCTTTGCATCATTTTTCACTCTATGCGCACCCACTGTCTAGTTTCAGCCAAGCTTTTCTGTTTCAACTTTAAATGAACAGTAGTCATCTTCTTTTGGTTTCTTGCCCTTGCAAATCCATTGTTCTTAGGTCATTGGTAATGCATGGTTTTGACCTTATTGTATGATTTATCCAGGTTGATTTACAATTGGAGTCTGGAGAATACTTCTTGAGTGACAAAAAGAAGTCAGAGAAAATGTGGCAGGAGAAGCAAGAGAAACAGACAGAGAAGAGTACAGAGAACAAAAGAAAGAGAGACGCTTCATTCGTCCCACCTGAGGTCTCTCTTCTGCCTTTGTTGTCACAAGATCAAAATTCGCGTCTCTCTCTTCTATTCAAAACCGTAAAAGATCCCTAACACGATCAATTTATTGCAGGAACCTGTGAAGAAGAACAACAACTCAAACAAGTCTGAGGATGGCAAGGAAGATCTAACCGAGTTAACAAATTCCTTAAAGGTAATGAAATCTATATCGGCACTGCCTCTGTTCTTGCTTGGAATTCAAGTAGAATTAGCACTGAGTTGGTTTGATGATTTTGTGGTGTTGCAGATCAAAGCAAAGGAGTTGAAAAAGCAGAAGAAGTCGCACGAGAGAGTGAATGCAGAAGACTATATTGCTGTTGAATCTGGTGATAAACCTTCCAAGAAGAAATCCAAAGTGACTAGAGATTAAAAAAAAAATCTGAAAACCTGTTTTGTTCGAAATCGAAACATATCTATGATCAATGAAACTATATAAACAAGTTACGTCTCATTTTCATTTTAATTGCTCTTTGATCTAAAAAAAACTATATTCTTATTATTGCCTCTTTGGTAGAGATATTGCAGTTGTTTATTAGAAAAAAAAAAACTTAAAAAGCATTATAAAGGTGACCAAGTAAAAGACAAAAAAAGAAAGGTGGACGTGGTGCTGATTCTTTACTGCCATTAGTACTTTCCTTCTCTCTCTCATCCTCTGTTATCAAAGTCGCTCGAGGAATCTGAGCTTTTCTCCGATTTATTTTTTCTTCTGCCGGAATTTTGTTCCCGGAGATCTCCACTCGAGCGAGTAATTTCGGCGATTCGCTCGGTGAGTTTTTCTTCCATATCGTGCTTTTTCGTCAAAGCAACGG